TTTCCTGCACTTTGTCTTTCAGTTTTAAAAATAATTTCTATAGAATTTGTATAGACATGCTAGCTTTGGTAGCTTTAAATCCTTAAGTTTAACATACCTGTCAGCATCCCTCCTTATCTGTTCTAAACTTTTGTGCATTATTTCATGTCATTTAAAATTAGACCAGGCCACTGAGTATAATTTTAATTTGTCCTAATTTTTTAAACTATTTTAGCCCCAAAAGGTTCTATGGAATGTTTCTTACCAAAAATATTTTTTTGTATTGTATTTCAAAATGTTGAAAATACAAGCCAGCATCTTTTATTGTATGTAGTTTCTTTTTTAATACAACAGTCCCTCTTGAAATACCGTGTTTGTTTATACAGAGATTCACCATGAATTCTTGTATGAATTTTGGACATTCCTGACCTGCCCACAATCAAAACAGCTGAAGCTACATGCCTGGGAAAGTGAGATCATTATTTCAGTCCTAAAAATAACTTCTGCTATTTGCAGAAATGCAGGACTGTTTCAGAGTTAATCAGAAGTTTCATTTGCTTTAGGCTTCAAAAATCTAACTTCCAAATATTCATGAATTTTAAAAAGACCTTGAAATGTTGGGAGAAAAAGTCGGTTGAAAAGAGTTGATGGCCTACAAAGATGAGTAATTGACAATTACTCTAATAACTTTATATTTTATGCTACTATTAACAAGACTATCCTTGGACAAAGCCATTACCTCATTCAGTGAACAATTACTGAATTCCTTCAAGGCAGCAGACCTTTGCACTCAACAGGATAGGTGAGCTAGATCTTTTAATCTGGTGCAGCCAGCTTTATAGAGCAGAAGTAGAAAGACTAGGAACAAGACTGCTTCTGCCCCCTTCAAGATTAGAATTTTAGCACCTCCCTTAACTCTTTGCCTTTTATGTGTTTCTGAATTTCATTCAGTGAGTTAAGCAAAATACTTTTCCTAGGCTCATAGCCATGATACTAAAATCTTGTTTGTTGAATTGAATTTCCATTTCAACTGAAAACATGGTCACTTCTGTTTTTAACAAATTTCCACATTACATTGTTTCCACTACAGAAACAATGTGGTCTCATCTACTAAAATGAGCTCTTGCAGTATCCCCATTTTCATTTCAAGTAACTGCTCAAAGAATAAGCTTCCATTAGGAATAGTGAATGGTCTCCCATAAATGAAATACGTCTCCTAATATGGTAATAGCATTCTTTACGTAGTAACTAGGTTTTACTTAAGCAAAGATAATTGCCAATAAAAAACTAAAGCATCTAACTCCAACAGTGGATTTGACTGAAAAACCAGTCTCCATGAAGAAAGTCATACATTTGAAAAGTTCTCATGAAACCAACCTACTAGGGTAGCATCCTTATCTGCCTGCTTATGATTATATTATCACTGGACTCCAGGGTCCAAATTTTACTTGATCAAGGAGACTATGATTCAAGGGCAGGAATTGATGAGTGCTATTGGGGGGAATAGGGAGGAAAGCCAAACTACATAAGACTAGCAAAATCATATTCTGAAAAGGAAAGGCAACCATTTCCTATAAAGTATGAAGAGAGAAAGGCCAAGAAGTGTAATACCTAGATTAGGGACGTGCAGAAAAGTTGTAAGAAGGATCAGATAGAAAATGATAAAAGGGCTTGAAGAGGTAGAGCCACAAAAACAGTATTGTGGAAATCAAGTGAATAGTTTCAAGAATGACGAGGTTAGTCAATAGTGTTAAATCAGAAAAGCTCAGTAAAGTTTAAATGGGATCACTAGATTTGACAAGTCATTGGTCACCTTTGCTATATCTATTAGGTAGAGGTTTTTTGTTTTTTTTCAAGACTTTATCTGAGAGGGAGAGCACAAGCAGGGGAGGGGCAGAAGGAGAGGGAGAAACAGGCTCCCACTGAGCAGGGAGCCCAATGCAGGGCTCAATCCCAGGACCCTGAGATCATGACCTGAGCCAAAGGCAAATGCTTAACTGACTGAGCCACCCAGGTGCCCCTAGGCAGAGTTATGAATGCAGGATCCATTGTGCAGCATGAAATGGTGGACAGTGCCTAGGTTTAGGGATCAAGCCAATCTGCATTTTAATCCCATTTTTGCTACATGGCTTCATAACCTTAAATAAATTATTTAAATTCCCTGGACCCCTATTCATTTGTAGAATGGAAGTAATGCTATTGGTTCATAATAGGAACATAATCTATTAATATATAAAGCAGTACTTCTTGTGACTAAGAGCAATACGAGGCCAGACTAGATTGAATGAATTCCACCTATTATTTGGCTGGCTTTGTAACCTTGGGCAGGTCACTCTTCAGTTTCATCACCTATATAACTGGGATGATAACCTCCCAAGTATGTTGTGAAAATTAGAAACACTGAAGCTAAATGGTTTGGTACACAGTAGGTATTCAAAAAGGTATTCTTGTTCAGTTTACCAGTAAAGGGTCTGAAGCTTGGCAATGAAGAGAAACTTGAAGGGAAGGCAAGATCAAAGGACTCATCTTTAGAGATTCAAGCCTGTTTGTAGACGGGGGAAAAGACAAACTAGAGGAAATAATCAGTGACACAAAATGAATCATATCCAGGAGATAGGAGGGGACAGAACCTAGATCACATGTTGTAGGATGATCCTTAGAGAAATAAAAATGGATACTTCTCCCTCTGAAAAGAGGGAAGGGTAGGTGATGGGAGTTTAATGGTAGTTGGAACTAAAAGGCTGAGGTTAGGAGGAAGGTCCATAGTTGTTTGATAGTAAATTAGCTCAAACTGGAATTTTATTATATTAAAGGGTTGTAATCAGGATTGAATGGGAGTACATTAAAAAGCCTATTTCCTGGTACTGACTAGATGATCAAATAATTTACTTTAGATTTCCTGGGTAGATCCAATATGTAGACTTGTGTCTTTCTAGGTCTTCCTTAGGTGTACGATTTCTTGATTTCCCTGAAACCTGGCTTTTTACTGTTCTTGAAGGCATTGCCAGAACTAATCCCATATGGAAGAAATGCCCAGTTTTCCCAATCCTGCTTCTCCCATTTCCACTTGCTCTTGAACGTCCAAAGTCCCTGTACCCTTTTACCTTAGATTCTATCTCCCTACTCAAGTAGCGTCATAACGTCTCTTATCCACATTTTATAGTTGTAATGAATATATAATTTTTTAGTTTAATACATCTTAACTTACTTTTCATGTTTTGGTATAGCCACCATTTTTATTTTTAACCATTCTTTTTAATGACCACAATTATCTTTGACAAGGTTATGCTTTAATTAGCCATTACCCAAGTGCTAGGTATTTAGATATTCGGCTTTTTGTTAATAAATACTATGTTTTTCTTTAGAATCTAGAGAATATACCCTAGAATTATTTTTTAGAACAGGGCTCTCCAGTAGAACTTTGTGATGATAGAAATGCTCTCTGTGCTTTCCAGTAAGGACACTTGCCACATGTGGCTATTGAGCACTTAAAATGTATCTAATATAACTGAAGAACAGAGTTTTTAATTTCAATTTAGATAGCCACATGTGGTTAATGACTATTGTATTGAAAAGCACAGTTCTATAAACAAATACGGAGATGAAAGTCAAAGTACAGTCTGGGTCCCTCAGCTATGGTCTTAAGGTGACCAAGGTGAGGGCTTATGGGATGGTAATAGACCTCTTGAAGAGCTCTATGACACAGACCTAAGGAAGCCAAAATCTTTTGATTTTGAGTGGAATAAAAAAATTATACTATTGGACCAAACAGCAGACTGCAGCCAAGGGAAAGAGTAAATATTTTAGAACCAGGTGTGACTTTTCAGAAATTGCTTTTCAAATTATGAGAAAATGCATTCCGTAATGATCTGGACCTTGGACAGTGTTACTCACATGAAGACCACAGCATCGGCATCCCAGGGTGCTTATTAGAAATGCAAATTAACACCCCACCCTCGACCTACTTAATCTGAATATCTGGGGTTGGGGCTCAAGAATCTTTTACAAAGCCCTCCAGGTTTTGCTTACAGTGCTGCTGTTTAAGAACACATGGTTCCTACTATCTAGGAATTTCTGATCAAAGATTTCTAGAATATAAAAGGCATTTTTCTTCCTCTCCCCATCTGTCACACTTTCAATCACAAGTGCTCAATAAAGGTTTGGTATTAAATGACTTACCCTCCATTACCCAGCAATAGTGCTATTCATCCCTATTATTCCAAGTGAGGGAAGTGAAGGTTATGGGCACAAACACTATTTAGAACAAAACTTGAATCATGTAGCTTCGTGGTTTCTGGTTTTGACGAAGAGCATTTTATAATGTGTGAGCGCTTGTAGGTATGCGTGTGTGCAATTCTGTCATCTATTCACCCAAAGGAATGCAAATATTTTGAATAAAACTTTCTTGTGCTTGGAAGGGGAGTGAAACGGTCATAGGCTGGCCGTGGTCTGTAAGGCCGTAAACCTTAAAATTTGAGGGTAAATGATACAACTCCGGCTGGAGCTCAGCTGAAAAAGAAAGGGTTCTCCAGCAGGCAGAGTCCGCCCGGCCGCCGCCCTCTTACCTTCCGCAGTATTACGTGGGACGCACCCTAAACAATTACTTGTTTTACCTCAAGTTCAAATGGAACTACGCTAACTGTACTTTCCCTTGCTAACTCTGGGAGTCCAGGGTGGGCGGCTTCTGGCGCCGGGGCCCTCCAAATCCCGAGGGATCGCGGCGCGGCCCGCCCTTCCCCACCGGGTCAAATTCCAGGCCAGGCCGGGCGGGGCGCCCCGCGGCCGAGGAATGCGGAAGGGCCGCGGGAACCCGCCGCGGAAGGCGGGGGAGGAGGGCGGGCCGGGGGACTACAGCCGCACGCAGGAAGGGATGCGGCAGCAGATCCCACAGGCCACAGAAGACGACTAAAGCCCAGGCTGTGTTCGCTGGCCCCAGCCCGGCTCCGCGGCCCATACAGCGGGCTTCGCTCGGTCTTGAGCGAGAACCCCTCTCGCACCCCCCTGTCCCGAGTTGGATCCAGCCGCGCCTTCCGGTGCGCTTTCCGGTCCACCTCTCGAGGCAGGAAGTGCCGGCCGCCGCCACTGTCGCGCCACAGCCCAGCCGTCGCCGCCGTCGCTCGTCGTCTCGCGCAGGGCAGCCCGGGTTCTGGTGTCTGGCGGCGGTGAGTGGCACTCGCCCCCGCGCACGACACCCCTCGGGCCGCGCCCGTCCCTCCTCCCTTCCGGCCTCGCGCCCGCCGCCGGACCCCGCCCCAGGGGGCCGGGGCGCGGGGGGCCGGGGGCTGCGGGACCTGTCAGGTTGGGCGAGGAGGGTGGGCGAGGAGGTCCTGGCAGCGGCCGGGCCTGGGCCTGGAAGTTGAGAGGCCGAGCAGCGCCAGGGCGGATGAAGCCGGGCTGGGGAGACGCCCTGTTGGAAGAGGTGGCTGGGTCCCCAGCGGAGGGTAGACCGGCCCGGCGTCACCCGGCTGACTTCACCCACCTGGTGCCTCCGGGCGGTCGGCTGCCAGCGCCCTTCCCTCGCGGGCCCAGTCGACCGATTAGGGTGTTGAGCGCCTGCTCTGTGCCCCCACACGGTGCTGGGTACTTGGGTGGGTAGGAGTCTACCGGTGCTTGCTTCTTGCCTTAGATGAAGTGTCGGAGGAAACTGTACCGGAGTGCATGGTTGGTACAGGCTAAAATGTAATGATTTTCGTAAGAGTTGTAACTCTCACTGTGTCCTGCATCTTGTAAAGATTTAGTTCATTCGTGTTGGTTGAAGAAAAGGACGAATAACAAAAGTCAAGAAGGAGGGGAGCCTGGGTGTCTCAGTCGTTAAGCGTCTGCCTTCGGCTCAGGTCGTGATCCCAGGATCTTGGGATCCAGCCCCGCATCGGGCTCCCTGCTCAGCGGGAAGCCTGCTTCTCCCTCTCCCACTCCCCCTGCTTTGTGTTCCCTCTCTCGCTGTCTCTCTCTGTCAAATAAATAAATAAATAAAATCTTTAAAAAAAAAAGTCAAGATTTCTTGGAGAAAGAATCATGACCTCATTGAAGACCTTGGATTCAGCCTTAGGAGGTAGAACTTAAGTGTTTCTGGCAGGAGCTGTGGTAGGAGGTCACAAGACTAAAAGCTGAAAAGGTGGGAATTGTGTTATGTGAAAAGGAGACAGTGGGGAGACCAGCCTGAATGGAACAAGAACTAAAATGAATAATAGCTGGATATAAGGGTAGGTAAGTAAATAAGTGAGGCATTTTTATGGATGTCTTCAAAACTTGACCGAGAAATAAAAGATTATGTAAGAGTCATTAGGCAGTCATTTTGGATTCTTTAGAAAGGGAGTAATATGAAGAAAGGGGGTGTTTAAAGGATTAGTTTGCCAGCCTTTGTTTAAGATGGATTTAGAATGGTCTTTTGGTAAGAGAAGAATCATAGCATTTTAGAATTCAAAAGAACCTTACAGATTATCTGTCTTACAGATTATCTTTCATTTTATAATTGAGGAAACTGAAACCCAGAGAAGTAAGATAAATTTGCCCAAGGTCACTTGAAGGATTCACAGGTGCCGTCCATTTTCTCTGAAAGCATTAGGTGGACCCCACTGGACCTCATAACTAAGTGCAAAGCTTTTTGTTTGTTCAGGCTCTGTTGAATGAAACAACTTTTATAATGACTGGCTTGATATTCATTTATGCTTTAATGAGACTGAGTTTCGACTGGGTGAACTGAAACTTCTGAAGGATAGATCCCCATGCAAGGATCCTGGGATTAGGAAAAAAAAAAGAGCTAGTAAATGGGGCTGGTTGTCCCTCTTTTCTAGGATGCAAAGACGCCAGGTATCTGGGGATGATTTTCATTGCTAGCAGCTTTGGTATCTTCCTTAGTCTGCATTTTAGCTGTGTGGTGACATTGCTTGGTACCCCCAACTAGCTATCCATGTTTTCATGATAGAGAATTTCAGCTGTCTATATATAGGATATTAGGGGCCAGTGGTACAAGCTCTGGAGCTAGACTTCCTGAGTACAAATCCTGAATTTAAACTCTACCATTTTCTAGCTGTGTGGCTATGGACAAATTGTTTATTCTCCTTGCCCTAATTTTCTCATCTGAGAAATGGGGATAACAGCACCTATATCATAAATTTTGAAGATTAAATATGTTAATACATGTGAAATGCTTAGACCAGTGGCTAGCACATATTTAGCACTCAGATATTGTCTATTATCAGCATTGTTTCTTCCGGATATGGAACAGGGGTTAACTGACAAGTTTTGTTGAGGATCTCTTGAGGAAGAGTCCAGTAGAGTTAATGCTGAACCATGGGTAGACCATAGAGAAAAGATTTATTTTGGGAGTCAGATCCAGGATCTACCTTATATATGTATATATAATTCTGTTTGTGATAGGAAGGAAGTATATGTATGTATTTGCTTTACTGATATTTATGGAGCACCTACCGAGTGTAAGGCACTCTGCTCTACCATATGATCCAAGGTAAAAAGGCTAAATGCCACAAAAATGTGTAAGTAAATGGCATGGCAAGAGAATATTACTGGGCAGTAAAAAAAAGAATAAACCACTGATAAATGCAACAAGATAAATGAATCTCAAAAATATTATTTTGAGTGAAAGAAGTCAGGCATATAGAATATACACTTTATAATTCCATTTATAAGAATGTCAAAGACAAAACTAATTTATAGTTAATTTAATAAATTTCTGATTTATAGAAATCTGAGCAATGGTTGCCTATGGTAGAGGGTCATTGACTTGGAAGGAACTTTCTGGAGTGATGTTAACATTTGTAACTTGATTGGGATGGTGGTTACATGGGTGTTCACATTTATAAAAACTCATTTTTAAGATCTGTACATTTCACCATATATAAATTTCACTGCAATAAAACAAAATGATATGGGAATTCAGGGGATGGAAAGTTTACTGCCAGCTGGGATGATCCTAAAACCCGTAATTTAAAAATGACAACATTATAATGTATGTGGTAAATATTAAAACATGTATACTGTGGGGAAAGCTTAGCTGGTACTAAGAGGAAAGCTGTAAAAATTGTGTTTGGCTCTGTAAAAGAAATAATAGATATAATAACTTATAGAACTGATTACATATTGGCCTAAATATGCAGCATAAAAACAGTGATGTCATTAAGTGTATGAGGTTAATTTTGTGAACTGTTTTAGCTTGATTATATACTAAATTTTCCTTATGATTGCTGTTTTCAGACTGTTGCTCATGGATCCAGTCATTTGATCCTCCTAATTAGCACTAACATTAGTCTTGACTACAATAATGACCATGGGAATCCGTGAGAAATTTCTAAAGGTTCTGACAGACCGTGGTGAGCATGAGAATTAAATCAGAAATGACCTTAACTTTTAGCAGAACTGCTCTCTGCTTTTTTGCATTCATTTACTGTTAGGCCTCACCTTGTCCCTCTGCTTACAAATTGGCCTTGCTAAAGGAGACCCCCTAAGCATCCTGCCCCTAGGCCTCTCTACTACCATTCTACTGGAGCTTGGCTAAAACTCGAACTCTTCCATCATCCCTTTGCTCACAAAACCAGCTCCTTTTCCCTCCCTATTTACCTCATTTTTGAGAGGTAGCTTTATGCTCCTGGTTTTTCAACCAGTACCTGAGAAAAGCACGATAGTTCAAGGATAGAGCTTTGGAAAAAAAACTCCAATTAGGAAGCAAGACGAACTAGCAAATCAGCATAGGAATCAGAAGAATAGGATAGTGTTGATGGGAATGTTGAGGAAGTGGAGACTCTTGCAGTTCAAAGAGGCACCCACAGAAGGGGTGCCTGGCTGGCTCAGTCAGAGCATGTGACTCTTGATCTCAGGAGATCATGAGTTTGAGCCCCATGTTGGGGATAGAGATTACTTAAAAATAAATAAACTTTTGAAAAAGTAAATAATATGAGTAACTATGGGCTAACATTTAAAAACCTAGATGAAATGGTTATAAATTACTAGAAAAATATTTTTATAATGGCAAAAATGAGGGGTGCCTGGTTGGCTCAGTTGGTAAAACGTGCAAATCTTGATCTCGGGATTGTAGGTTCGAGCCCCACATTGGGTGTAGAGATTACTTTAAAAAATAAAATAATAAAATCTTTTTCAAAAAGAAAAAAGAGGAGCCCACAGAACTTGGAGAAATTGAATAGAAGGAATTAAAATTTTCTTTTCTAACCTGGAATCAAAATTCCCTAATACAAACAACTGTGGCCATAATTCTGAAGTAAATCATTGTCCTATTTTAATATTAAAGAGGCCAAGGAAACACAGTGGCTTTACTAGTTTTCTAGTACTGTATAACCAATTACCCCAAATTCAGCATCTTAAAAAAAAACAGTTTCTGAGGGTCTAGAATTCCAAGGCAGCTTAGCTAGTGGTTTAGAGTTTCATGAGGTTGCAGTCCAAGTGTCAGCTGGGTTTGCAATCATTTGAAGGAAGATCAGCCTCCAAGATGGCTAACTCACTGCCTGGCAAGTTGGTGTTGACTTGGCAGGAGGCCTCAGTTCCCTGCCACATGGACCTTTCCATAGGGCTCTGTAGGGCCCTTGGGTCCTGGTGCTGGCTTGCCCCAGATTGAGTGGTTTGAGGAAGAGCAGGGCAGAAGCTGCAGTGTCTGTTACAAGGTCACACACCATCATTTTTGCAATATCCTATTGGTTATGAAGAGTAGCAGAATATGCCACTCCAAAATATGCTACTTTGGCATAAAGTTGTTTTGTCAAAAGATTGTTTTGAGCTGAAGGCAATAGAAGAAGCAAACACACAGGAAACGCTCTCTATCCTCCTATTTGCCTAAAAGCAGGACATAAATTTACATAAATTTACAAAGGTGTCCTTCCTCCTCTCCATACCAGGAAGAACAAAGGTTACTCTATGGAGACAACTTTAGACTCTTATCATTGGAGAAAGTCCTGACTTTAGTCTGCATGACAAGCCTTACCCTGTTTACTGTGCAACTTCCGCACAGCTAGCCTCTTCCCCACACACACACCTTCCTTCTTTGTCTTTAGCTGGAGATTTTAAGCTGAGTTCTAAGTTACCTTTCTGAGTTGGCTTTTCCCTGTATCTCCCATGTATATATGTTAATAAGCTTCTGTTTTTCTCCTGTGAATCTATAATTACAGAGGTGTCATTCAAGAACTCAGAAGGGTAG